AATAAAAACCTAAAAGTACCAGATTGTAAAGTAGGAACAAATGGACAGGAAGACTGGAGATGAGGGAGTGAAGATAAGGTTAAGAAAAAATCCAACTTCTTAAATCCTTAAAAACAGAAATGAAAGGAGGGGGAAATATGTAAAGAAGTACGGTTATATTCTCCTAATTGTACCCATTAAATACATGGAATCTGTTCCCTTTATACTAATAAATATAAATGTTTAAAAATTATTTTTTTTTCTTTTATTGCATCACTACTGCCTCACTCCAGTACCCTAAAAAAACAATCCAAAGGCAAGCATGGGTTGCAGGATGGGACACAGTGGAATGGGCAGTGACAGCCCTATTTCTCTAACAGCAATCTCTGCACCCCAACTTCTGACCAATCAGCTAGAATCAGCTTCATAAAATAAACTACTTGGGGGGAAAGCTCAGAGAAAATCAATCACCCCACTATCTCTTTGCCTATGAAGCATCTTAGAAATAAGCATGCTGCTAAAGAAAGTGAGATTATGGCCAAGCTATGTATAAAGAACACAAGGATATAATGTTGGGAGGCAGTTTGATGATTTATGAGTACCCACAATAAACTGCAGATGATAGAAAGATATTGATCCCAGAATGGGAGCTGAAGTAGGCAGCCCAGAGAGCAGTGATCAACCAGCCTTTAAGTTGAGATTTATGAGTATTTGCAAAGTGTACAAATGAGTCCTCATATAGCAACAGTAATTTTTTTTTCCTTAGGACACAAGGTAAAACATGTATTTTCCCAAATTTTATCTATTTTTCATTTCATTTGAAAAGCAGGGAGATGGGAAAGGAAGAGAGATTTCTTGTATTTGTTGGTATCTCCCCAAATGCCCACAACAGCTAGGAATGTGCCAGCCTAAAGCCAGGATCTTGGGACTCCATCCAGACCCGTGTGAGTTCAGCTGATCATGAGGACACAGAATCCCCAGTGATACCAGCCTTTATAAAGACACATCTCAGTACAAAATAACACCCCCTATTGAAGGCTTTTGGGATCTGAAAGAATGAAACATTAATCCAGAGGCTGCTGTGAGCCAACAAGTTTCCTGCCTACCTCAGAATCAGACTAGTCACCAGGAAAACAGAGGAAAGAGGGCCAAAGGTACTTGGGACTTGTGCCTACAGTCCATCTCTGGAGTGAACAAGAAGGCAGAGCCAGTCATGGGCAGTTCTGGGGCCCCATGACTGTGGAGTGGTTACAAAAACTAGCCAACTTCAAATTTAGGCTGAGTGAGCAGATCAGCAGGCTGGCCAATGATTGTGTCAAGGGGCTAATGCTATGGTGTAGCAGATAAAGCTGCCACCTGCAGTGCCAGAATCCCATAAGGGCACTGGTTCGAGTTCTGGCTGCTCCACTACTGATCCAGCTCTTGGCTATGGCCTGGGGAAGCAGCATAAAATGGCCCAAGTCCTTGGGCCCGTGAACCTGTGGGAATCAGAGAGGAGGCTCCTGGATCCTGGCCTTGAATCAGCTCAGCTCCTGCCATTGTGGCCATTTGGGGAGTGAAACAGTGGATGGAAGAATTCTCTCTGCTTCTGCCTCTCTGTAACTTTGCCTTTCAAATAAATACATCTTTAGCCAAACGAAAAAAAAAAAAAAAGATTGTGTCATCTATTTGGGAATCTGAATAGAGGAGTGGACTAAAAAGAGCCATCAAAAGATGCACAGAGCTAGCACTGTGGTGTAGCCAGTAAAACTGCTGCCCGCAGTGCCAGCATGCCATATGGGTGCCAGTTGAAGTCCCAGCTGTTTCACTTCCAATCCTGCTCCCTGCTATGGTTTGGGAAAACAGTGGAAGATGGCACAAATCCCCAGGCCCCTGCACCCATATGGGAAGACCTGGAGGAAGCTTCTGCCTCCTGGGTTCGGATCAGCCCAGTTCCAGCCACTGCAGCCATTTGAAGAGTGAATCAGTGCATGGAAGCCCTCTCTCTGCCTCTCCTTTTCTCTCTGTGTAACTCTTTCAAATAAATAAATCTTAAAAAGTAAAATAAAAAAAGAAGAGAGAGATGAACACAACAGGAGCCAGGGTACCAAGTGGGTAATAAATGCACAGATTCTAGCCCAAGACAGCAGATAATGCCAACCTTCTCTTCTGTTGTCAAGTTTCCTTTAAAGGCCTTGGGGAACATATCTGTAGACATTTCATATGTAAGAAACACATGGGCTATTCATAATTGGTCTATAAATATTAGAATTATTTCCCTGAGCAATGAGTTACCACAGGGAGAGACAATTAAAGGGAATTACTTCAGTCCTCCTCCTAGGGAATGATACATCCTAGATGAAGCTCTTCTTTCAAACCACTTCTCTGATTTTCCATTTAAAAACAATAAAATCTTTTTTTCTATATTCCATATTGGATAGGATTACTGTCTCTGAATCAATAGTTCATGATTTTATTATTTTCATTATTTTTCCAGGGGAAATAATTTATCTGTAAAGAGGCCTCTTTTTTCCGTAAGCCCAACAACTGCCTTGGGAATCACTTGTGGATGGACAAACAAGCCAATGGGGTCATCTACTAGGAGACAGCATCATTGACCCAAATTGCTATAGTTCACTCTACAGAAAAATGCAACCCAAAACAAAGAATTCCAGTCCATCAGTCTCCTGGTTTAAGCAAAGGGTACACATACATTATTCCAGGTCTGCACCCTTTTCATTGTGCTCACATGTGGACACAGAATGTGAGCCAGGAATAACTGCAGCAGTAGAAGCAGTCAGTGTTTCCAATATAAAATTGATTTTAATGACCTCAAATTCAGTCATAAAACTTCTGCTCTTAGCAAGGGACACACACAGCCATATTCATCTCTCTATTAAAATTCTGTGAACTGATTATATAAGAATGTCTTTTTGCATTTAATTACATCAGTTCTCTACTGCTTATAAAAATCTGAAAAAAAAAAAACTGAAAAGTGAGTCAACTATATCAGAAACTCACTGTAAAAAACTAATTCTAAATTAAAAAAATAAAATACCCTAAAAGATAAAAGGATAATTTTGGTAATCTGCACAAATGACCTGTGTCCAATTGTGTTTTTGAATCCTTCTCAACCTCTCTTCTGGCCTGGGAAAGCAGCAGAAGGTAGCCCAAGTCCTTGGGCCTCTGTACCCATATGCAAGACCTGGAAGAAGCTTCTGGCTCCTGGCTTCAGACTGGTGCAATTCCAGCCATTGCGGCCAATTGGGAAGTGAATCAGCAGATGAAAGGCAGCAAAAGATGGCCCAACACTTGGGTTGCTGCCACCCACATGGGATTCCCGAATGGTATTTCAGGCTTCTTCTGGCTTCAGTCTGGCCACTGCAGCTATTTGGGGGCTGAAAGAGTTCTTTCTCTCACTCTCTTTCTGTCACTCTGCCTTTCAAATACACAAAATAAATATATTTTTAAAATTGTTTTGAGAGATAAGAAAAAGTTTATTTTATCAAAATGAGGATAATATAAGATAAATACTAGGACTCATTAACTTCAAAAATACACACTAAAAAAATTTAATGAAACTCAAAATATAACCAAAATCATCATCTATTACACGTTACAATTTTTATATTGAGCTATATCAAAAAAATTTAGCCCCCTCTTTGAAAACAATCCCCTTGGGGCTGGCATAGTGGGTTAAGCAGTCACTTTCAATTCTGGCATCCACATGGACACTGGTTCAAGTCTGTCTGGACCATTTCCAATCCAGCTTCCTGCTAATGCACCTGGGAAAGCAGTGGAGGATGGCCCAAATACCTGGGCCCCTGTACCCAAATGGGAGACCCAGAAGAAGCTCCTACTACCTTGCTTCAGCCTGGCCCAGCCCAAGCCGTTGTGGCCATTTGAGGAGTGAGCCAATGGATGGAAGACCTCTCTCTATCTCTCCCTCTCTCTGTGTAACTCTGCCTTTCAAACCTATACAATGCACTATTATGACTATTCTCTCATATAAAGAAATCTCATATAAACTGTAGATGAATCCTCCTGACTTGATGTAATTCAGAAAGAGTATTGCCTTCTGCCATCCTATGGTAGGCATCAATGAAGGTCATTAATGGGAAGATGAATGGACACCATCAGACTGCTTCCTCACATGGCACCCTTCCTTAAAGACATCACTGCTACATTACCAGATCATGTACCTCACAGTAAAACATTTCTCTATTAAAAATGGTAAAGAATGAGACCAGCACCGTGGCATAGCAGGTAAAGCCGTTGCCTGCAGTGCCAGCATCCCCTATGGGCACTGGTTCGAGTCCCAGCTGCTCCACTTCTGATCCAGCTCTATGGTATGGCCTGGGAGAGCAATAGAAGATGGCCCAAGTCCTTGGCACCTGCACCCACATGGGAGATCTGGAAGAAAGCTCCTGGCTTCAGATCAGCTCTGTTATGGAAGCAAGTACAGCCAGAGAGAGAGGTCTTCCATTCCATCAGTTCACTCTCCAAATGACCCCAACAGCCAGAGCTGAGCTGATCCGAAGCCAGGAGCCAGAAGCCTCCTCCAGGTCTCCCATGCAGCTGCAGAGCCCAAGGATTTGGGCCATCTTCCACTGCCTTCCCAGGCCTCACCCAGTTCTTGGAATTCCCCTCTGCCTGCTGCCCCCTCCCCCTCCCCCAGCCCTAGCCCTCTTAAAAAGACCCTGCCCCTGGGGGTAGAGGCTTTCTGCCACACGCTCTATCTTGTACACGCAGGCAGTTCATCACCTTCCTCTGTGGATTTATTTTCTCTGAATAAATTCAGTCTGGCTGTAAATTCATGCACTGCCTCCTCTCTATTCTATGACTCTTTTCCTAACATTTTAGTGCCCCGTGGAGGAGGCACCAATCTGCAACTCTTCCTAACACTGACTTACAAATAAATAAATAAATCTTAAAAAAAAAAAAAAAAAGAACTGGGCAGAGAAAAACTATTACTTTTCTGTATTTATCACAGCTTTCTACTTTATGTAAATCCAGATTAAAAGAATTCATTATTGACTCACACAGTAGACGTCTTGATTGCAGTTCACTTCTCACTTTGCAAAAGGATCAGTGGCAGGAAATAACAGTTGACATCCTTGCTAACAAGAAAGAGGAGCTGAAGACAGAAATTGAAAAGCAGAAAAATAAGTCAACAGCTACGTTTCCATGGCTTCATGCTCCAAATTGAAATACGGCTGTTAATTAAACACTGTTGATTAGCCACATACTCCCGGCCCCAGATGCCAGATGTGTCTGCGGGGACCCCACCGGGCCAAAGAGGTACAGGATGGGAGGCCTGAAGCAGATCCTAGTCTGGGCCTTCTTCCTCACCCCTCTGCCACCTCCAGCTTCCCGCTGAAGGCCACTGAGCCCCTCCCCGCCTGAACCACCGTGGGATACAGTGGGAAGCCTGGTCGGACGGCATTCTGCGGCCCACCAGAAGTGGGAACCGGGCTTATTTAAATAAAGAGAACGGAGTCTCACTGCCTTCCTTCACTGTGCTCCCACCTGCCCTGCTTGTGCAGTTCCCCATTCCGGTGCACTTTAAGTTTGAGCCAGGTAGCCCGCAGGACTGGCCGAGCGCTGTGAGGCTGGGAAGCGGCGGTGGTAGACACAACACCCCAGGTCCCTTCCCTGACTGCCAGGATCACTGAGAAGCAAGTGATCCACGCCTGGGAGCCGCCAACCACCCTCGCACCGACCCCCTTCTCACACACAAGGTGCCTCTTCCTGTTCTCCGTACTTGCCGTGGAAAGTCCAGGGAGCACGTCCCCTTTTTCAGGCCACACAGGGAGCAAAGTGGAGCGCGTGGGACAGGAAAAGTCCACGGCACGTGGGACACACAGGCGGCAGATGCAGGGGCACAGAAGCAGCAGGTGGCAAGCTCCGGGTGTGCGCTCACAAACTGCCTGGGTTGCACTTGCCGAGCAAGATATTCGGTGAAGGTGTGAGAAGCAGCAGCGCGGCCTCTCACGTCCCACTCTAATCAGCAAGCGAACTTCCTGTTTCCAACTCTGAACGACCTGGGCAGGCATGCGCATACGCATGCGCACGCACACATTCGCCCACATTCACACGCACACACATTCTGAGCGCGGAAAACGTCAGAGCACCTGGTGACTCTGGGAAATGGAGTCCGGGCCAGAGTATTCCTAGCTAGACCTGGCTATCTCCAAGTGTTTCAGTGTGGGGTGGATGGAAACAGACTGGGAACCAGAGGGCATCTGCTTTTGTTTACACCCCTTCATCCCTTCCTTCCCACCCCCAAATCTTAAGGATCACTTGATGTTCTTCGTCCTGTCTTGGGCCAAAATCTTAAAAAGCGACACCCATTGCTGCTAACTGACCCCCAAATCATGGTTCTTTTATAAATTCTGTCTTCTTTCAGAAAAATCTTACTGACTTCTTTGTTCCTGGAAAGCTTCTCTCAAATAATAAATGACTATGAGTTCAATGTAACTTTTAGCAGAGGTGTAGACAGCATAGTTTAACATCCAGATTTGAGAATACAATTTTTATTTGTGTTTTAGTGATATTTATTGTTCTTTTCAAATCATTTTACACCATCCTCTAATTCACCAAGTACAGAAACAAACAGGGGAACTGGATACAGAACTAACATTGTCAAGTATCTTCTAGGAGCTAGGATAAGGGACTAAATGTTTTACATCATATCATTTATACGTTTGATTAAGTTTTAAGACAACATTATCAATTTACAAAGAGGAAACAGATGAAAGAGTTTGGAGTTGAATTTGCCAATGGAAATATGGTTAAAAAGTCTAGGTTAAAGGCTAACCAAAATGAAATACTGGATTAAGAAATCTTTTGGGGCCAGCACTGTGACATATTAGGCTAAGCCCCTGCCTTAGGTCTGACATCCCATATGGGCCCTGGTTCAAGTGCCTGCTGCTCCACTTCCAATCTAGCTCTCTGCTATAAGCTGGGAAAGCAGTAGAAGATAGCCCAAGTGCCTGGGCCCCTGTATTCAAATTGGAGACCTGAAAGAAGCTCCTAGCTCTGGATAATGTTAGTTCTGTCTGATGCACCCATTTGGGGAGTGAATCAGCAGGTGGAAGTCTTCTCTCTCTTGCCTCTGCGTATCTGTAACTCTGCCTTTCAAATAGATAGATAGATAGATAGATAGATAGATAGATATTTTTAAAAGGATATCTTTCTTTTGTCTTGAGGCTCAGTTTCTAAAACCCCAGATTTCTCATCTGTCAAATAAAAAGTGAGAGGGAAGTAGAGTATCTACAATGATAATCTACACTATAGAGAAACACATAGGATTATAAATTGATTAAAAAAAGAAAAGAGATTCAAAGTTGCTATTACACTATTTTCATTTTATCTCATGTTTAATATCAAGATAGCATATAAATATTATGCATTCTTAGGTATATGTGTGGTGTTTCGTTTTTAAGTAGAAATGCAAATGGATAGCTGGATGACATGGAATTTTATGTTTATCAATTATAATTCATAGGATTAGAGTTGCTGGATTAGGAATACTTAAATCTATTCATTTCACACTAATGTTTACTATTTCAGGCAATATTCTTTGTGTAGACTGCTCCTTCTTGACAGACTGAAAACCTCAGGAGGACAAGAAACATGTTTGCTTTGACATTAAAACTCAGCATCTTGACAGAGTCAGTCTCTTGGTTGAATGAATAAATGAGGCTATAAAAATAAACAAATGCTATTTCTGATTCTCAAGAACTATCTAATAGAAAGGACAATGAAGTAAATATCTATTTGATAACTGCCACAATTAGGTGAATGTATAATTTGTTGTTCTAAGATAAATTTGATAATAAAAGGGACATATTAATAACTACACAGGGTTGAAATGTATAAACAGGAACCATCCAGGGCCAAGCAGGTCAAATGTTCACCCTAGCTATTGAAGGCATTCCATTTATTATTTAGTTAGCATTTATTGAGCATTCTTTTGTATGATGTGTTGAAAGAACTACCATCCACTTGATTTCCCTAGAAATTGTAGAAAGAGATACTGAGCAATCAGAAAGTGGCAAAGAAAACGGGATGAACTAAAAGGCTTTGGACACAAAGGTAAGAAAAACAAAAAAGCAGGGAGGTCAATTAAAAAATATATTAAAGATAATTTAGAAGGACCTGAATCAAGGTATGGTGGTAGTGGGAATAGAGAAGAGGCAATAGATTACAGTGAGATCTAAAAGGCAGAACCAACAGGATTTCAATGCTTTACTATGGTAGATGAAGACAAAAGGGAACTCACGTATGAATCTTCATTCGGATTTTATTATTTAAAGGGCAAGGTGTTCTCAGTACATTAATGTCCATCAGTAATAAAAAGCTACCTCCAATCAGCTTATAAAGTTCTCCTAAATCCAGGACAAAATCTTATGGGTAGATACTATCTATAAGCCCTAAGTTAATCATCAAGCCAAATATTTTTAACTGCCATCATATACAATGGTCTTTGTTATGATGCAGTGACTTAGAACCTACAAGATGTAATCTATACCTATAAGAACAATCCAAATGAAAAATTAAAATAAAAACCCACAAAATTATATAATTCAAAGCTAAATTTGGAATACCTCCCTAATTCACAGTTCATGTATCCACCTTAGATACCCAAAGCACAATGAAGCAGGAAAGAAGTAAAAATAATTTCCCAGAATATCCAAAATACACATTATAAAGCCCAAGTAAGCGATCTAGCTACTGGCTCAGTATCATGACTCTTTTTTTATTTTATTTTTTTTTATTTTTTATTTTTTGACAGGCAGAGTCGACAGTGAGAGATAGAGAGAGAAAAAGGTCTTCCTTTTCCATTGGTTCACCCCCCAATGGCCACCGCGGCTGGCATGCTGTGGCTTGCACACAGTGCTGATCCGAAGCATGGAGCCAGGTGCTTCTCCTGGTCTTCCATGTGGGTGCAGGGCCCAAGGACTTGGGCCATCCTCCACTGCACTCCCAGGCCACAGCAGAGAGCTGGACTGGAAGAGGAGCAACCGGAAGCTCTCCACATTTGAGGCCAGAATCTTTTTAACTCTGAGGTTTCCTCTTCCATATGAAGGCTCTTAGCATTATCTTCTAAGTATAAACTTTTCCTGACACCAGACCTCCCATAGACCCACATCAGAGGACAGATGATAATGAATTGCTGAATGAACAGAATCTTGAGGTTTCATGAAAATGGAAGACCCATGAATCTATTCTCACCTCTGAGTGTACTATCTTGACAGTGTAGAAAGCATTTGGGGAGGAACACACCTGCCCAACTAGAGCCCATTGGTCAAAGGATCCAGCAGAAGACTCAAAGACTTGCCACATCACAATCTGCCCACAGAGTAGGATGATAACAGAAAGCCTGAAGATGTGCTTGAGCTGTGGCCTCATGGTACTGGTTTCAGCTGCTGACACACCAGAAGAGAGCGATGGGAAGCAGTTTAAGCTAGCCCTGCCTCTGCCTGGCCAGCACTACAGTATGCATGGGGCAAGTCTGCTCCTGGAGTACCTGATAAGGCCAAGGGATGTGTGGAGACCTACAGTCAGAGGAATTCTGAAGCACTGGCCTCAAGTTTGGAGAGTTGCCATATAACAATATTTTTAGGAAGTGATGTGTCAGGGGCAGCCCTGGAAAGGCCTCCTAACCACATAGCCTTCCCCTTATGCGCCTCTGAACTTAGATGAGCCTGAATGGAGAGCAACAACCTGGGTGGGTGATGCTGAGAGGCCACCAGATGAGATTCTGGTTAATGTATGCAGGTTGTGGGTCATAATGCAACAGTATGTGCAACATTGGATGCTGGCCCATGTGTCCACCCACACACCTGATATGAGTGAGGGTCTGACAGAGGGAGAGTGGGCCATGGGATTTTCAAGACAAATCTGTGAATGAGTAAAGCATGCTGACTTCTTACCTGGGACTACTAGAGAAGGGGAGGAGAGGTCTGTAGGCTAGAAACTAAGTGAAGAGATAGGAAATATTACATCCCATTTACCCCTTCCCTAAGGTACACACCCAAGGTTAGTAGTTGACTTCCTCTTAAATTTGAATTGGTGGCAGTAATGATGTTGGAACTTGTGAATAAAGGACCTAATATGGTGAACATTCTGCTTGTCTTTCCTACAAATGGTCTAACAAATGATATTTTCTTTTTTAAAAAAAGATGTATTTATTTGAAAGTCAGAGTTACACAGAGAGAGGAGAGGCAGAGAGAGAGGCCTTCCATCCGATGGTTCACTCCCCAATTGGCCACAATGGCCAGAGCTGTGCCAGGAGCCAGGAACTTCTTCCAGTTCTCCCACACAGGTGTAGGGGCCCAAGGACTTGGGCCATCTTCTACTGCTTTCTCAGGCCATAGCAGAGAGCTGCATAGGATGTGAAGCAGCCGGGACTCAAACTGGCACCCATATAGGATGCCAGCACTTCAGGCCAGGGCGTTAACCTGCTGTGCCACAGCGCCAACCCCACAAATTTTATATATATATATATATATACACACACATATATACATATATCTTTATATATAAAAATATATAAAGATATATATTTAAATTATATATATTATATTTAAAGATATATATATTTTAAAGATTTTATTTATTCATTTGAGAGGTAGACAGTGAAAGGGAGAGACAGAGAGAAAGGTCTTCTCCCCGTTGGTCCACTCTCCAAATGGCCACAATGGCTGGAGTTGCACTGATCTGAAACCAGGAGCCAGGAGCTTCTTTCAGGTCTTTCGTGTGGGTGGAGGGGCCCAAGCACTTGGGCCATCTTTTACTGCTTTCCCAGGCCATAGCAGAGAGCTGGATTGGAAGAGGGGCAGCCAGTACTAGAATCGGCACCCATATGGGATGCCAGCACCACAGGTGGAACATTAACCTACTGCAACACAGTGCCAGCCCCATATTTTCTTAAAACAAAAATAGGTATGTACATAGCTTGAGATTTGACTGAGAATTCTTGCAAAAATATTTACTCCTTGTTGACTTGAAAGATGCTAAATGTGTGGCTCCTCTTTGGTGATTTGGAG